AGGAAGGATCATGGCTTAGGGAACCATACAACCACATGGTACAGAGAAGCCATGGAGCCCCATAGACATAAGTACATACAAACACAGGCACACAAGGTAAATGTACCCAAGGTCAGGCGTACACACCCTCCCCAGGAAATTCCTGCCTCCTAGGGCAGGTCTAGTCTGTCATCCATACTTCCAGAAGGAGGGAAAGGTAGAGGAAGAGGAGTGGCTCTGGCCAGAGATGGGTCCTCCACTCAGAGCTTCTTCCCTTGGCCCCGCCCCCAGCCCCTCCCTGTGATCTCCCTGGCCCACTAGGAGCCAAGTCTGGGTGCAGAGAAGGCTTTGGAGGGGGCATTTTCATAGAACCCTGGCACAGTGCCTGGGCGCAGGAGAGACAATGAGCAACAGGGTTAGGAGCTGTGATAAGGAGTCTATAATCTTCTCCCAGGACCTAAAGAGAACAGCAGGAGGCACTGGGCAAGGCCTGGAGGCTCACAGGGTGACAAGGACCCCCTCTGCAGTGGCTTGCACTTTCTCTCCTCAGCAAAAGGCCTGGCACCCAGGTACTGGCACCAACTCCCAGTCCCTGGCAGAGCTTTGGCATGAAGCTAGGCACAGGGTGCCAGACACAGGGGTGGGCAGGGGGGCACCAGGCCACACACAAACGAGGACCTTCATACACACAGGCATGGATATGCACCCACATACCACTTATTTTATCCCCTGGGGATTCAAGGGAGAAGGGCAGGGACCACCCTGTCCGAGAGGCTGCACTCACTGACTCTGGGGGTGTTCCCATTGACTTGGCTCTTGCAGGGGGAGGGAGGAGAAGAGCACAGGTAAGACCTGGAAGCTTCCTCTGGTCCTCCACCCACCCACACCCCCCAAACACATGTACTTGAGTGGCATGAGGTGGCTTTTGTGCATCCCCAGAGTTGGTCCTGGAGGGAAGAAGGAAGGAGGGAAGGTCACCTCTCTTCCCTCAGCCCCGGCCCCAGGAGGATTTTGTGACCGCAAGCTACTCATGTGTGAGTGTGCGTTAGGGCATGCATGCCTGGGACCTTCGGCCGCACACGGTGTGCTGATGCGGGTGTGGCAGGCGGTGGCCAGGCGAGGGCGGACTGGTTCGCTGCTGAATTCCGCCAGACTACGGCGGTACAATCAATGTGGAGAGCCTGAATGGAAGTTGTGTTTGTCCTCAGGTGTCCCGAGCAAGTGTGAGCAGGATGTGCTCACCTGGGCGCGGCGGCTCATGGCCCTGGGTGCGTTCGTGGGGTCTCAGGGGTGAGAGGATGCAGAGCACTGGAGCTGGGCCCATGAGCCCTTTACTCAGCTCAGCCCGCGGCAAAAGTCTCCTCCTCGCGCAGCAACTTAGGACTTTGTTCTGGCTTCTTCGA